AGGTGTGAGGAAAAGGAGTATTTCATGGATAAGGTCCTGACAAGACCCATTTCCAGTAACTGGGCAGCAGGAAAGGATGAACGAGTGTGAGAGACATCCTGCTCCAGGTCTGTTTCGGAATCTCCTGTTTGGCCTGGCTCTGGTGTGGTGGGCACAGCAGCCACAGCTCCCCCTCTCAGCAGTGGGTTGGTGAGCAGTGTTGCTCCCTTGGCTGGCACTCTGCAGACTGCAATCCCTAAGGAATTATTCCTGCAGCAGGAGCCATGTGAACGAGGAGTGGAGTGTTCAGGGAGCACAGAGCATTGTCTGCACCGAGCAGCCCAGGTGATTATCCCCCTGTCAGCCTGGAAAGGCAAAACTCTCAGTGCTTTGTGGAGCTGCAGCTCCTCCAGGGGAAGAAGCTCTGGATGCTCTTGGCATGGATTTGGCATTCCTGGTGTTCCCACAGCAGATGGGGGGTTGCCCTGGCTGGAGCACCAGGCTCTGCTCGGGTGGGAGGATGCTCCTGGTGCCTCCAGAAGGCCACGTGAGCAGGAGAATTCAGGGATGGAGATGAGCTCCTTGTGTGTGTCCAGGTGAATCCCACCCTCAGCTGAGGATGGTGGCAATGAAAATAGCAAATAGGAGGGGTTTCATTTTCAGTTCAGGGCTTTCTGCTGTTTATATTGATGTACATGGGAGGTCTCCGAGAGCAAGAAGTGCCTGAGGGCTATAAAATGTAGCATAATGAATAATAATATAGTTGTATATTAACCTTTCTATGAGAGCACTGCCTCAGACACCACCTGGGTCATGATCCCATTGCTGTGGCAGCTGTATAATTTTATAAAAGTGATAACGATGATACTTAGCCAATATATATCCACTTCCCTAATAGAAGCTTTAGAGCTTCAAATCCCAGATTTGTCCAAAGTGTGGCAAGTGGAATTTCCTCTGTATATGATTTATGTCATGGATATAAAAAGTCAAATGTGACAGCAACTCAAATACCCTTTTTCACAGTTATAACCAGCAATTGTTAAGAAAAGAAAACAACTGCAAAGCACTTTTATGGCACGATGGGAGTTAATAAAATCATTTGTATAATGGCTTTTTTGCCGAGTAAGAAGGTCAAGAAAATATCTGTATATTGTCTTGATGGCTCCATAACACCCTGTAGTGTGTGGCTTGGGCAACACCATATAATTTGCAAACAGACTTGCTGTCTTAAAATTGATCTTACCATTCAAACATAATGCTTTTATCCCAGATTTAATGCCAGTAAATGAAACTGTTTTGGGTTAAATCCTGGGAAAATTGGAAAAGTGTTTGAGGAGCTGCTAACTCATTTGGTATCAATAATTGTAGGAAGGGATGGTTTGCTATCTGGATAATTAAAATTGGTATAACTGGCAGTTTTTAGTGTGGACATCCTTGGACAAATAGAAGAATAAAAATATCATAAACTGATCAAATCCCTGCTCATGTGAAGTTGGGTCAGTATGTTGTATTTGCTCTCACCTGGGCTGAGAATGAAAACACTTGAGGCAGGTGAGAAATGCAGCAGGTCAGTCATTTTGTGGTTTAATTAAGCTTAATGATTTTCCTTGTTAAGTAACCCCTGAGCCCTTGAAGTCCCTTCTGACACATGAAATGGATGGTTTGACACGTGTGACAAACTCAGGGGGACACCAGTCCCTCTGAAGTCCCTGCTCCATCCATGCCAAGGGCACGTTGGCCTCGTGGCTCTCCATCAGCCCCTCCCTGCTGTTCCTCCTGGAGATCCTGGGAGTGTCCCTTGGCTGCTGCTGTTTCACTGGGGCTGGTTCAGCCTTGGAGCCCCTGTTTTGATCTTTATTTTCCCAGGTCACTATTCTTTTCTGGGGGGCCCCTTGCTGTGCTGTGCAGCCACCTCTCTCCTGCAGCCTGTCCTTTCCCTGGAGATGTGTTTCTGAACTTTCCCCAGCGCAAATCCCTCCTGCCAGGCTCCCTTTTCCCCTGCAAACCCCTCCTTAGTGCTGGCCCTGGCTCAGCCTCCCCAGCACATCCAATTCCCTGGGCCCCTCTGCCAGGGAGCTGAGCCTGACGCCTGCAGCCAGAAAACGGGCATCAAATGGAAGGAGAGATGCAGGATTAATGTGAGAAATAAATCATTTCTTTCTGTTTTGTTGGAGGGGGGATAAATAGCAACCCCACGTCAGCAAGTCTTACTTTCTGGTTGATAATGGAGGTGCTCCTCTAAGCATTCCCAGCTCTGCAGGGCTGTAACATCCTTCCTCCTCAGTGATTCCCGGTCTGGGAGGACCTGAGAGGCATTTCAGGGTGTGGAGGGCTAGGAATGTCCCCTGGGCAGGGCTGGGTGCTGGCACTGCATGTCCAGACAACTGATTGTGAATGTAGGACAGAACACCCAGACCAAATGTGACCTGACTCCAGCCAGCTGGGGGTGAGGCATTCCCATCTCCCCCCAGGAATTTCTGTTTTCAATCCCTTAAGCACTGCTGATCCCTCCTGTCCTGACCAAAGGGGATGGCACCCCCTGAGATAGTGGGAAACCAACCAAGAGCATTTGTTCCTTGCCTGGACTTCCCCAGCCCCTCCCCAGGGCTTGGGATCGGGGCCCTTTCCCCTTCTCCCCCTTCCATGCTCCTCCTTTTTTTTTCCTTTCAGTCTGTTTCATCACTATGGTGCTCATGTACATATTTATCCTGTGGTGGGAGATAAATGAACCCATTAGGCAGTATCATCTCTCTATGTGTAAAAATAATGATTTAATCAAATCATGGTGATTTGAAGTAATAAGAGATTCATTTTAATTTGGAAAATCTCATAAAAGAACTATCTATATCTCTTAGATGTATTTGCTGAAAAAGTAATTTGCTAAAGTATGAAATATGGAGAACATTGGGGAATCAGTAAATCTTGTCACACCAGTGAAGTATTTGGCCGTGTACAGGGGTAAGAAGAGATTATTCCTACTTTTGCATTAAAGCATCCAGCTTTTTTGGCTGGGTCATCTAATTCCCTGTGAGACTCTGAACCCAGAACTCTGAAATTTAGCACTCTGTGTGTAAGTTGTCTTAATGTCGTCAGTTCAGAAAGATTAAGATTAAGCACAGGCTTAAGTCAGTTGTTGCTGCAGAGAACATGTTTGCCTGTGTTCCAACCTGAGTGTTTATGAATCATGTTCTTTCCAAAAGATATCTAAAATTAGAGATGCATTTGAGGTGTTCCTCTGCCTCAAACCCACGGGCACAGATGGGACCACTGGTGTTTGCAGGACTGTGGGAGGTGTAGGAATAGTCCTGCCTAGGGAGGGATTTCAAAGCTGGGGCTGCCCCATCCCTGGAAGTGTCCAAGGCCAGGCTGGACGGGGCTTGGAGCAACCTGGGCTGGTGGAATGTGTCCCTGCCCATGGCAGGGGATGGCACTGGATGGGCTTTAAGGTCCCTGCCAACCCAAACCAGTCTGGGATTCTTGGCCCTAAGATGTTGGGAAGGAGGGCAGTTCACCAAGGGGATGCCTTTGGAGTTCTTCCCCAGGACCTTGGCTCTGTGGGAGCAGCAGTGCTGGGACCTGCAGCACAGCCAGGATGGAGGGGGCACAGTATTCCCACACAGGGAGGAATTCACAGAAATTTGTCCAGCTCTGAACTGTCCCATTGTCACTCACTCATCTCCTTGTCCTGATCAATAGGAAATAATGGTAAAACCTGTTCCCTCTGTAGTAGGATCCATATTCCTCCTTGTGAATGCAGAGGGATCATTAAAGCAATCAATGGGAATGTTGTTATTTGTTATTAAATCTGTAAAGGCTTAGAGTAATTCATATGGAATTTTATTACAGTTTTATCAAGACTCATTGATTTTACCTTATTAAGTTATAGAGCCCTTTTCCCAGAGGTCAGTGGCTTTGGCACATGGGAAAGGTTCCCTGTTTCTCTTTCTGAGCCATTTGTATGTTGTAGATCTTATGACTGAATATCCCCTTTGAAATGCTTCTTTAATTATGAGTAAAACTATTACACACAGGTTTGCAGGAAAAAAAAGTTTAGGTTGTATGCTCTTAAAACCTGGTGATTTTCCAAATGTTCTTCTGACCCATCTGACGATGAATATTTTCCTTAGGATATTTTATCCAAGAAATGGTAATCGTGGAATGACAGACTGGTTTGGGTTAGAAGAACCCTACTTTTAATTTAATAAACTGTATCATTTACTATGGAGGCTGCAGGTAAAATGTTAATTTGCTTTCAGCCTGTTACTGGAAGGCCCCGGTACTGATTTTCCTGGTTTGATTTTGGGAGATGAGGTAGGTTGGGATGCGATTGGTGAACAGCAGACTCAGCATTAGGAAAATACATGTTATGGTTGGGTCAGTGGCACACAAAGCTGACAGGAGGAGATGGATTGACCCCATTCTAGATCCCCTTTCCCCTTTTAAAACATCTGGGTTTGTGCTGTCTGTTTTTATGCCCAGGGGAGGAGTGCTGTGCTCATTTACTGATGCCAGATGGTTTTCCTCCGGCTCAGTTCCATCGTGTGCTGTGCCAGCTTGTGTCACTCTGCCCACCTATGGCACTGAGGGAAGTCATTGACTACAGTGGCAGGAACTTCTTCCCTCTTTCAATGGAATATGCATTTACAGCCATTTCTGACTGCAAACCCCAAAGGACCCCTGTGATGATGCGATAGAGAGGCACAGCTGCACCATATGATTTATTTTCCTTCCTCATTGGTGTGTATTTATTCCATGCTTTTTTCCTTATAACTCTTATCTATATTAATCTTGTTTCACATTTATCTTACCCGGTTTTGTACCTGGCAGTCAGAAACAGAGTAACTCCCCTGCAAGATGCAGCTGATAAGAACATGCTCAATGGATTTTCTTTCTCTCCAGGGCCATCTCACGTGGACAGAGACGTGGCACGTGCTGGGTGTTGAGGGAGATACAACCAGAGGGTTTGTTTTTCAGGCTGCAGCCCGAGCCAAACCTGAGCTCTCCCCTCTCTCCTTCCCCAGGGTTCGATGCCTATTTTACCTCCCGCACCCTGGAGAACAACAGGAGGAACGTGTGGTTTGCAGAGTACTGGGAGGAGAACTTCAACTGCAAGTTGACCATCACTGGCTCAAAGAAGGAAGACACGGACAGGAAATGCACAGGTAACTCATCCCTTCCCCTCCTTGTGCTGCAGGGTGGGCAGCAGTGCAATAACTGCCCAGCTGGAGGAAGGAGGCTTGGCTGGGGAGGCAGGGGAAAATAAATTGCTTTTTTGTAGGTTGTAGAGAAACTGGAACAGCAGCATCAGCCTTACAGAGAAATAGAGGCTACAAGAGAAGTAGATGGGAAGAGTCAAACCTTAAATTCTTTTATTTTTTCCAGTTTCAGACTGTCCATCCAGCAGGAAAAGGAATGTTTTCCATGGGACCCAGAAGTACTTTTGTTTGAGTTCAGGGTGGCTGGAGGGTGTTTTGTTAGTTTGTTTTAGATGGAGAATCTTTCACAACAATTTAGGAGGAAGTTCTTGGCTGTGAGGGTGGGGAGGCCCTGGCACAGGTTGCCCAGAGAAGCTGTGGCTGCCCCTGGATCCCTGGAAGTGTCCAAGGCCAGGTTGGATAGAGCTTGGAGCGACCTGGGCTAGTGGCAGGTGTCCCCACCCATGGCAGAGGGGTTGGAATGAGATGATTTTAAGGTCCCTTCCAACCCAAACCATTCCAGGATTCCATGTTTCTATGACTGAAATGTGTGGAGAAGCTTTGGGCAGAAGGTCCCTCCTGTGACACCCAGGGCACAGCCAGTGGTGCCGCCAGACGGGTGCCCTGCCCGGCCCTTTCCTTCCCTCTCCTTTAAATTCTTCACAGCAGCACTTGAAATGTGTTATGTTGAATGATTGCCTTGAATTTTGATCAAAGGGAATCGGTTCATAGGAGGATTTGTTTTACTTTGAAAATTGATGGTAACTCCCCATCCTTCATCTCTCGCACTTTTGGTTCCAGCTCCCGGGGGGAGTGGGAGTGTCGAGCACACAAACAGTGCAGCTCCCACTGGGAACACACCGCTCTTAAATTTGGCATTTGGAGTCTCCCCAGAAGGCTGGAATCTGACTACACATTGCTCCAAGATCTTTAGGATGATTTCTAGAAGTGCCTGATGCCCCTTACTGTTCATGCCATGGTTTATTACAGTTGCTCACAGCCCCTGTTGTCTGATGTGGCTGTAAATGTTGTTCTTCTTTCCCTCAGTGTATTTTGGGCACAAACATCTGGTTTTGGTGACCAACTTACCCTGTCGAGCTGAAAGGCTGCATTAGAGCTCGATATTGTCCCAAATGACAAGCCCTGATACCTCCCTTCCCTCCTCTCCAAACTGAAGGAAATTGGGCATCAGAAAAAGCATTAACTGTGAGTGATATTGGCAGTGTGAGAGTCAGAATGTCCCACTGCTGGGATGATATTACGACTGATGGCCATCATTATTTTGGGATCTGATTGGTGCTTTGCACTGCAGCAAGGTGCAGCTCCAGGCCTCAGCTCTGACAGCAGCAGAGCTCCCGAGCCCGGGCAGGGGTCAGAGCTCACCTCCACACCCCAATGTTCTCACTGTTCTCAAGTAGAAACTTGAAGGTTCATCTGCTTTTCTCCAGAAAATCCCAGGGGATCAGGTTGATGGTGTTGAGACAAAGGCTTTTGTGTGTAATGAGGTGATCTGGCTGGGGCTGGGCCGGGTGGGCCCTGTCACTGCAGGGTTGGTGTTGGATCCTGGAGTTCTTTGTCACAATACAGGGATTAGTTGCAAAGAGGCCTCATTTTCCTGATCTGCTCCTTGAAATTACAATATTTACTCTGGCATATTGTTAGTTGTCCTCAAGCTCTGGTTCTCAGCTACTTCCACATAAAGAGCTTTCAGACTTTACCCCTCCTGTGTGTGCAGTGCCTGTACCAGGAGTGAGCACCAAGGAGTAGCTGTGATCATGTTTGTAGAGCCCTGGCTGCAGGAACTCCTGTTGGGGCTGTAGTGCCACGAACAGAGTGGGGCTGTAGAGTCCACGAGCAGCTGCACAGGCTCTGCCCTGGAGGAGGTTTGGGTGCTGTCCTCAAAGGCAGATGTGGGCACTCAGTCAGAGACTGAGAATTGTACCTGTGGCACCGTGGACGTGTCTGTGCTCAGAGGCACCGGGTTTGTGACGGTGCTGAACACTCTGGAGATGGAGATGGATGAAGAGCAGATATTTTTCTGTCAGCACTTAACCAGCTGCTGAATTCCAACTTATAATCTCTGCCTGTTTGAAACTGTGAGCATTCCACAATCTTTAAATTAAATCTCCTCTTAATGATGACTATCACCAGGTTCCCAGAAGCACTATTGTGTGAGACCCTTTGAAAATGTGTTTAATCCTTCAGAAACTGCACCGGTGTCTGAATTCCTCTCGTGTGAGCACCGACGGAGTGAGATTTTGATGTCTGTCTGGGCAAATTATATGCCACAAAAATTGTCCTGGCGATACTATTTATTCATCATAACACGTCCCCTATGGCATGTGATCACAACAATGAGTCCACACAGATCAGCTGCAGGAGGCATGTGGAGGGTGAAGAGCGATGTGTCGGCTGCTCTCCTGCACTGGGAGGTGTGACCGGGAGTTCTCAAACCTGCATTTCACTTCTGTCATCTGAAGGAGATGGGACAAGAGGAGTTCCCTCTCTCTGTGTTCTCACCACTCTGGATTTGGACCTTTTTTTCCCTCTTCTTGTTGCAGTGTCTTTCTCTTGTGAAGATGCAGCAGGGCCCCGGCTGCTCCGTCTCTCGGGAATCAGGATGATGAGCACTTGAGACTCAAGTAGGAAGGGAGTTACATTATTTGTCATCACCTTCAAATAGATCCTTTGGAAGCAGAAGATGCTCATGTCAATAAATTGCTGTTGTGTTTGATCCTTCTCCTGTCATCCCAAGCTACTCCATTTCCAACCATGGGACAGAAGCTCTCTTGAAACCACGTTGTGTGCAGGTGTCAGCTGCTTCACTGCTGAAGGAAATAATGCTGTTGTGTGGCTCCTGGAGATCTCCAAGTTAAAAAAAGCCAAGAAAAAAAACCAACCAGGAGCATGTAAAAAGAGCAGAAGATGATGCAAATGGGGTTTGTGTTTACTTTCCGTGCTTTTGATGTCTTCTGGCAGCACGGAGGGTCCCGTGGTTTCTTGATGCACCCAACACCCGAGTTCATCAACTGGTTCTTCTATTGCACCGAGTTTCACTCCCTGAGACCCCCCCGGTGTCCTGACCTGTCTGTGCTGGGGTTTCACTCCTGCCCCTTTGCCAGGAAGCACTCACAGCACCACCGCTGCTGCTTTTGTCTGTAGGAAGTTAATGGCTTTGGCGACTTTCCTTCTCTTCCAGGAATAATTAATAATTGAATTTCTATACTCCCATTATACAGCGGCTATTCCTGAAGTCTGTGGAAAACTTTCTGCTTAAGCTTCTTCAGCTCAGCCTAAGAGGGGGAAATATTTCCCACAATAATGTTGAAGTTGGAATTAAAATCGTGCCCATCACTTTGGTTTGTCCCTGCCTGAAAATGGACATTGGGCCTGTTTTGCTCACTAGTTACTACAGTGGTAGGTTGATATAAACTAGAGGGAACACTCTGCTCAGCCAGGCCCTTTAATTGGGATACTTTGAATTCTTTTTATATAGTCTGAAGACTATTTGACATATGTAAAACATGGCATTTGCTTTGCAGGTTCTTTGCAAGTTCAGATTTGGGTTAAACTTGTAATTGCAACAAAATGTCTTTGAAAGGTAACTCAGCCCGTGCTTGGATGAAGGACAGCACATTCCCAATTGTATGAATTCATGCATGTTTTTGGATGAGCAGCTGCATTTGACTCCACACCTGGATTTATTGTGCACAATTCTGGATGTTTAATACTCAACTAAATGGCTGTTTCAGCACAGGAAACTGTTGTTGTTCGTGGAAATTCCATTAAGATTTTAAATTTTCATACTTGGACACTGTTACATTGCTCTTGAGTTTCTTTAAGTGGGTTTTGCTCAGGTTCCTCTCAGATATTTCACTGCTAAGGCGTTTCTTCCTGCTGTGTGTTTGGCCAGCTGTGCTTCTGGAACATGCTCTGCCTTATCAGTATTGTTTGTGTGCAGCATTTCAGTCCCAGCTCCACTTCCCCTGGCACCCACTCCTGGTGCATTGCTAATTTGGTTACAGAGCTGGGCTGAAACCACTTAAAAGCATTTTCCTTGTCAGGGCTTGAAAATGTGGTAAATTCTGTAATCAATGAGAGGGGAGTGAAATAATGAAAAGGACTTGTGGAACTTCACAGTCTGGAAACTTGCTTTTTCTGCTGAATTATTTGTAGGATTTCGGTGTTTCCAGAGTAGCTGAGATTTAAAACTGAGGGGTTTTGGTAAAGAGTCTTTCAACCACAATCATGGAATCCCAGAATGGTTGGGTTGGAAGGGACCTCAAAGCCCATCCAGTGCCACCCCCTGTCATGGGCAGGGGCACCTTCCACTAGCCCAGGTTGCTCCAACCTGGCCTTGGACACTCCCAGGGATGGGGCAGCCACAGCTTCTCTGGGCAACCTGTGCCAGGGCCTCTCCACCCTCACAGGGAAGAATTTCTTCCTAATATCTAATTTAAACCTAATCTCTGCCAGTTTACACCATTGCCTCTTGTCCTGTCACTGCAGGCCCTTGTCCAAAGTCCCTTCTCCAGCTCTCCTGTAGGTTGAGCAGCTCAGACATCAGGGGTGCAGTTTGGTGAATACAGAGGGAACCCAGGAAGAAGGAAATGTAGATAATTATTGATGTTCATATGGGGGGGTGTCTCTTTGCTTGTATTCAAGTAAATCTCTTTTGTGGATATATTTGGACATCTGGTTCAGTGCTGGCCTTGGCAGTGCTGGGGAAACAGTTGGACTTGGTGATCTTACAGGGCTTTTCCAACCTCAACAACTCCATGATTCTTCGTGTTTGTAGAATTTCTGTTCTTCTCTCTCTGTGCTTATTTGGAATTCTGGTCTGCTGCCTCTTCACTCAAAGAAGAAAAAAAAGGGATTTTTTTGGGACTCTGCCTTTTTCTCGCGAGCTGAAAACAAAACTGGAAGCCTTTGCTCACAGGCTGGGTGGAGAACAATCCAGCCTGGGGGCTGAGCCAGGACAGCACCCCTGGGCTGTCCCTGCTGGGGGGTTATTGCAGACCCTGCTCACTGGGGGGGAAGGTGGTAGGGCTGGGGCTGGTAAAGCTGCTGTTGGTTAGAGCAGGAGGGAGAGATCCAAACCTGCCAGTTGAGCAGCAACAGGAAAATGGACTTCTTGCCTCCATTAAATCATTAGTTCTCACAGTCATTAACAGCTTGATTTCCTTTCCTCATTGGTATCAGCTAATTTAAATTCACTCAATCCTGTTTCTAATTAAGGGTATTAACAAAGGAATTTTTGCCACTCCAACACTTTGGAACATTTACTTTGATTGAACGTCTGAAATATTTGCAAGGGATGATTCCAAGGTCTGGTTCCTTGGAGCTCCTGGCAGCTCCCAGCCCTGTAGGTACTGCAGGAAGATGAGCAAGACCCATGTGAGGTTAGAAAAGTGGGATAATGCAGGTAGAACATGGGATGTGGTGTTGCCACCCTTGTACTTGTGGTGCCTCGTGGCTGCAGCTCAGGCCACTCCCCAGCAGCAGTTCCATTCCATGAATCCCTGGTGAGATGGGTCAGTGTGATCACAGTTTGCAGCTGCACAGGCTGAATCCAGCAGGTGTTACTTGGACAGGGAACAGCAGGGAGTCAGTGGGCAATTTTGGGGGAAAGGAAATGAATCAAAGATTCCCCGTTCTCAGCCCGGGGTGTGTCACTGCGAGCTCTGGAAACACTGTTGGTTTGCTGCCTAATTGCAGAGCACCCAGTCACCTGTTCAGGGCACCAGAAAGGCAGGAAGGCCACCTCAGTGCCTTGGGCTAAGGCCACATCACCAGGCTACATCTCCATCCTGAGCCTGAGGGTGGGAAAATGGTTAAGGCCCGAGCCTTCCACTTCGGATATTTGGATTCACTTATTTTGTCACTGTTCTGGAGCTCCTCAGCCTGTGTGTGATTGAAGTTCTGATTTTCCATGTACAGAACCCCTCGCTGCTCTCAGTTTCTCATGCCTTGCCCCGTGGGCTGAGCAGCTCCCAGGGTTTGTGGTTCCTGCACACCCAAGGAATGATTTCCACCCTTCCCCAGTGCTGCTTCTCCCGCTGTGCCTGGGCTGGCATTAACTCCTGGATTCCTTGAGGGCTCTCCTGCTAAATCATTTTAGAGGCAGTCAGTGGGTTCTGCAGGACATTTCAGGCTCTGCAGGCCAGGGAGCAGAGGGTGATAGTTGATGCCAACACTCGGAGCTTCCCGAGGTGCTGTTAATACCCTCGTGTTCCTCGATTCCCCAGAGCACCTCTTTGGTGGCATCTCTGAAGTGACACTTTATTCCCTCAATCTGGCTCCAACTTTCAATTAGAGTCTGGGATTTGCAGCAGAACAAAACATCAGACTTTAAATACCAGCTGTGCTTATTTTAAATATTTTCCCATTTCAAAGCCAGGGTTCGGGAATTTTCAGAGCCTGGAGCTTTCTCTCTCTAAGGTGGTCCCTGTAGATTAGGGCTTCAAGTTGGTGATTGTGGCAGGATTTGTTTGTCTGGATTATGTAGAACAACTTGCAAGAGGTGTCAATGGTTCTGGCAGCAATCAAAGAGGTTTGTTTATGTTTTAATTAGTAAACCCCTAACTCAGAACGTTTCATTGTATCGATTAAAGGCAGTTTCAGTGTGCTCCAGGAGGGTTGGGTGTTTGCTCTGGGGCGGGCACTGCTCCTCACTGTGTCCGTGTGTCCCCAGGGCAGGAGCGCATCGGGAAGGACTCCCCGTACGAGCAGGAGGGGAAGGTGCAGTTCGTCATCGACGCCGTGTACGCCATGGCCCACGCCCTGCACCACATGAGCCGCGACCTGTGCACCGACGGCGCCGGGCTCTGCCCCGACATGGAGCACGCGGGGGGCAAGAAGCTGCTCAAGTACATCCGCAGCGTGAACTTCAACGGTGAGCACGGAGCCCCTCACACCCACCGGGGCCTCTGCCCGCTGAACACACTGCCCGAGAGACCAGAGCCCACAGCCACCCCAACCCCACAGCCACCCCGAACCCACTGCCATCCTGACCCCACAGCCACCCCGACCCCACAGCCACCCCAAACCCACTGCCATCCTGACCCCACAGCCACCCCGACCCCAGAGCCACCCTGACTCTACAGCCCTCCTGACCCTACAGCCACTCTGACCCTCGCGGCCTCCTCAGTTCATTCCACATCATATGTTTTTGTGTTCAACCCAAATCAAGGCTTTTTTACTGTCGTGGCACAAGACCATGTTTGTTTAGCATCTGTTTGAAAATACCATGTTTTAGCCAAGGCAATAAGGCTGCTGCTGCCCAGAGACAGGAATGGCTGCTGCTGGTTTAGCACCCCTTCCAGAAGCCTGATTTCCAATGGGAGAAATCACTGGGGAAAAGCCTGAGTTTGTCTCTGGCTCAGTGTGGTTCCTGAAGCCCTAGAAGGTTGTTACCATCACACGTCAGTTTGTTGTCTTTCTGTTGTTTCCTGTACATGGAGAAAATTAACTGGCTGAAATCCTGGTACCCAAAGCCCACCTTAGGTGTGCGCTCAGGGGAAGGCAGAGCAGAGCTGAAGGGAAGCCAGGTCCACCTGGGAAGCTAGAACTGTGTGAGTGAACAGAGTAGTTACTCCAGCCTTCATTGCTCTAGTAAGATTTCAGAGGAGATGAGCCATCCTGACAGCACTTTACCTCTTCCTCCCTTATCACTTTATCCCCCTGTGCTGCCCAGGAGTGGCCACGCTGGTTGCAGCACCAACCCCCTGTTCCAGGCAGCACAACGGGCTGTCATGTACTTCCCCTGCATTGCACCGTATAAATCAGGCCTAAATATTAACACAGTTTCCTTGCCTCTGTATGTTTTCCTGTAATTTTATTAGTTTCATTAACGAACACCCACTTGCCACCAGCTCCGAGGCCCCGGAGCGGGTCGTTTCCAGCAGGGAATGGTATTTCTCCTTCATAAACCTGCTAATGGACTTCCCAGGAGGTCTGGCTGCTCTCACTCTGGCTCTGTAGGAGATAGAGAGCTGAGATTTAACCAGGAGCCAGAAGGTAGACCTCCAAATCCATATTTAAAACAGATTTAGGAAAGTACTGAGAAAAATATCCTTTTGAAGTGTGGGAGGCAGGGCTGCTGCTGCCTGGGGAGGAGGGTTTGCATAAGCTGCACGTCCTCGTTGGGCACCACAGCCAGAGCTCCCCTCCCACCATCTCCTAATAAATATTTTTATTAATAAACTTAACAAAACCCACACAGAGCCAATAGGACCCGAGAGTTTTAAAGGGGGGAACACAGATGCTATTCTGTGGTCAAGCTTGGTCTGTTGTGCCAAGGATATTTTTCATTCCTGTATAAATCATCTTATAAAGAGCAAGGTGAACATGAGGAGATTTTAATTCCTTTCCTTGAAGGGATGTTAACTACAGCCAGGAGCAAGTTTGGAGATGAATGATCCTAGGAGGTCTGCAGAGTTCTCTTGCCTCATTTGGGAAGGTTAATTGTGAAGGACAGAGCTCCTGTGGCAGCACAGCCTCCATGTGCAGGACCACACCTGGGCATTGCAGTGCTGGAAGGACGGGGTTGTCTCTGGATATTTCTTGCATATAAAGATGCTGAACATTCATCTCATCATTTCAACAGAGCTGAGACGTAATTTATGAGGAACTGGGTGTTCAGTTAATGTTGTCTGGTGTCCAGCTCCAAGAACTGGTTATCCCTGTGGATAACACGTTGGAGCTCCTGGGACAGGGGTGATGGTGCCTCTGTGTCCCTCGGCCATTGTGTCATGGCTGGGAGGGCTGGCACAGAGGAGGGGGCAGCTGGGCTTTGTCAGCTCCCTGGGTTTAGTCTTGGTCTTAACCTGCCCTTCTGAGTCACCAGTGCAGGGCTCCAACTCCTCAGGAAGGCTGGGACTTGGAAAGCAAATTTAGTCTGTGTGTAAAATCCTGTTCTCCCAGTTTTCCACCTGAGTTTGTGGTGAGAACAGAAAGTGGAGCAGTGGGAGCGCTTTGTCCAGGCTGTGTGAGGAGAGAAAAAGCGTAGCCTGTTTTCAAGCACCCTGAGCCTGAGATCCTCTCTGCATGTAATGGATCTCCTTGGCACTGTGCAGTTGAGATCATCCTGCCTGTGCCTGCTTTGGAGTCTTTTCTCCCTTGCAAAGGTAATGCAGGAAGAGCTGAAGCCACGCTTTGATGGAGAGAGGCTGGATATGTGTGAGGAACTCAGTGTGCATTTTGCTATTGTCACACTACCTCGAGAACAAAGGGCCCAAAATATGGAAAACTTCAAACCTCAAGCGTTCAAGCAGAGAGAGTCTGAAAGTATCAAAGTGTAATTGTATTTTTGCCAGTGAAAAGCTGAAGATGCTGTTCATAGGAGCCCTTTGGGTCTTCAAACTGCTGTGAACATGAACTGAGTGATAAACACCTTGGCTGGTGACACCTGTCTAGCACCCTGTCCTCCTCTCATTAATCACTTTCTCATCTTGCAATGATTAAGAGATTGAAATCCTGCAACTTCAGTCAGACTGTGTCTGGTCTTGAGTGCTTCCTGCAGGTGTACCCTGTGTGTGTGTGGGGACAGGGCAGCTCATTTGCTGGGAGTTGAAGGGAATTGTCATGGCCTCTGCATGGGCAGGAAGCTGCAGCCTCAAGGCTGACACTCCTGAAGCACTTGCTGGGGCTGAGCAAAACTCTGGGAAATCTTAATAGAAAGAAAATAAATTCTAGATGATCAAAAACCAGTGAAACAACCACGTGTTTTCAAGATTAGAAGATCAAGAAGTCAAAGAACAAGTAGGGTCATTTGTGAAAACCCTGGTTCCCCTCTGCGATGAGGTTTTCCTACATTACATTATATTATTTTCATTGTTTCATCAAAGCAGCCTGAGCTGTGTGTGGAGGCTGGAATGCTGCAGGGATCAAAGCAGGGCTGCTGGGTCCCCACAGGCAGGAGGCACAAAAGGAGAGCAGAGCCTGTACCTGGCCTGGGGTTAAGGAGGGCTTGCACTTCCTAAGCAGATCTGTGGCTGGGAGTCCAATTACTCCAACTTCAAAGTCAGGAGAGGGGACTCTTGTGCCTGACTCCTGACTTGGGGTTACCAGTCCTTCCTATTCCCTTTGGATACTTGACTTCCCAACAGATCCCAGGCTTCTCATGGCTTTTCTCTGTATAATTTTAGCAGTCAAATGGTGAAGTACCTGAAAACAGCAGCAGGTGTTCCCTGCTCACTGCCCAGCCCCTGTGCCCATGTCCCTCGGGGGGCTCTGGACCATCAGACTGTGCTGGGCCGAGCCTGCAGCCCTGGCACATCCAAGGACATCCTTAGGGATTGTTTGGAATGGCTTACCCAGGAGGGCTCTGGGTGACATTCCCAGGAAGGTGAGCCCAGGAGTGCTCTTGGCTGCTTCCCCTCAGGTTTTGTCTCAGCACCCTTGACTCTGGGTGGCCTGGACAACGGAGCCCATTCTCCATGTGCCTCCTGACCAGCAGACACAGACCCTGCTTCATGTCCTGGGACCTTGTCAGGATGTGGGGAATCCACAAATGTCTCTGTTGCATTTTGGGAGCCTCACTTGAGCTCCTGCCATTTCAATTGTACCTTTTTTGTCAGCTCTGACAAAACCAAGCTTAACTGATAATACCAGCCTTAAGAGTTGTGATTAGCTAAATCCCATTTACCTCTTGTGCCGACTTTCCCAGGGAGCCAAGGAATTACAGCCATAGCTTCTGATTCACTCTAAGTGTTTTCACTCTAAATGCATTCTGGCTACATGAATCTGTAATGACAATTAAATATCTGCCTGGTGCTCATAAGGAACCGGTGAGCAGAGATTTCAGTGCAAGATTTTCTGTGCCAGCCTTTGAACTGAATTTGTTCTGATGTCAGAGGATTGTAGGAGAGACAGGAAACCATTTACCAGGGCTAGAATGGAGACTGTGCTAATTCACTCCTCCAAACGTTTTTTTCACTCACTGGAATTCAATGAAGAATGGGAATCATGAAGAAAACAGTAATCTTAAAGTTCAATGCTACAACAGGAGAGATTTTTCATTGCTTTAGGGAAAAGAAGTTACGCAGGAGGAGGAAGCTTTGAATATAGATATGCTGGAGGATTGTCATAATCTTCAATCTTGACACAATATTGCTCTTCCCTACTGAAACCTATTTTAATATGTCTTGAAATAAATGTCACCCTTGAAGGTTGCTCCTGGAGATCTGAGGAAATGCAGCACTGCTTTGAATTCTCATCTCAGAAAAGGTTCACATCTAATGCCGTGGTAATTAAAATGCAGATGTCATGGTGAGAACTCTCTTGAGGCTCAGGGATCTGAGAACTCTCCCGAGGACAAGGATCAGGGATGGTCTGTCCCAGGGCTCAGACATCTCTGCACCCCCAGGCTTTGCTCAGCACCAGGCACAGAGGGAGGGCTGGGGCTTTCTCTGTCTTGTCCCTGGTCCTGCACTTCCTGACCTGTGTTCATCACCTGAGTCCACAGCAAATAAAGTCAATTCAGGATCCTGCTCTGCTCCCACTGAGACACTTCTGTGTCAGTGTCAGAGAGCCTAAATAAGGGAGTACACAAGGACCAGTCTTCCTAAAGCTTAGTCTGTTCTGTTCCACCCCAAGCACACGGTGATTGCGGGAATGAGAACATACTGTGGAGGAGGAAGCTATTTCTGGATGCCAGTCAAGACTCACCAGACCTGGGCTGACTCCTGACAGCACTATCTCACAGAAGCAGATGGAACATTTTCTGGGAGGGGGTGAAAAGCAGCATTTAGAGGCTCCATTCACAGGAGTGATTTTCACTGAAGAACTCCCTGAGGAAAGAGAGATGGGAGGGAGGCTGGAGGGCAGCAAGAAAAGCCTTCTGATATTTCTTATGTTGGGCAAAACTAGAGTGAGGTAAGGCTCATCTAGTTTGCTCTGTTTATTTTTAGGCAGCAGGTTTAAGCAGTGAGAGCTGATCTCTGGGAGAGGGCTGGGGTGATGCCAGTGTCCTGAAGTGTCCTGTTAAATGGCCGGGCTGGTGGATGACCTTTGCCTGAAACACGTTTCCAGTCTCAATACTCTCAACCGTGACTAAATAAAGCAGATCTCTCAAAGACTTGGTGTTGGTTGGTTGGATTTTGTCTTGTTTCCTTCCCCCAGGCAGTGCTGGCACTCCAGTGATGTTCAACAAGAACGGGGACGCCCCAGGGCGCTACGACATCTTCCAGTTCCACAGCACCAACACCAGCACCCCGGGCTACCGCCTCGTGGGCCAGTGGACAGACGACCTCCAGCTCAACGTGAGTCTGCCTTAGTCCCTCCTTGCTCCTTTTTGTCAGCCATAGTCACTAAATGCTTTTTTTCATCCTGAAAAACTTAGGAGGGATCTTCACTGTTTCTTCACAGCAGCATCACGGGGTTTTGTCACACATTATCTTGTTCTAGTCTGTCCTGCAACCTTCTCCCTGTACCCTGAGTACCAAAGCTCCTCAGACTAATAGAGACATTAGGGGATCATGCAAATTTTATTACTTTTGTGTGTCTGAAGTCCCCAGTTGCCAGCTTGGAAAATGAAGCCATAATTTGTTGTAGTTCGAAACCACGGGGCTTTCATTTGCAGATGCTCTTCAGTTTTTCCCGTTTTTGGAAAGCTGAAACTAAATGTTGCTGGAGTGACTCACTTTTCCGGTGGTACTTTCAATCCATATGGATGAGATGGCCTTTCTGTGATGATGCCTAAAGGAAAACAAGCACGTAGGAGCAGGGGATCAAAGATACTTTGATGTTTTCCAGATGAAAAAAATAGGAGTGGTGGGTGGGAAAGCTGGAGACTCTGTGTCAGCCTCAGCCACACAGAGCTGGTCTGTGACCTGCCTCAAGAGCTGGGTTCATGGTTCCTGATTGACTCTGTGCAGGTTGCTTGAGCCTGGAGTTGGTGGAGAAGTGGTGCCAGTTTAACAGAGCTGTTGGCTCCTTGTGGAGTGTCAGGAACACCCACAGCCAGTGTCTGCAGCTCAGTTTGGCTCTTCAGCAACAGAGCCTCAATAAGAGCAAGGTTATTCCTGAAGTGTTTATTTGTTGAAAGAGGTTCTCTTCTCTCAGTCAAGGTTCCATCCAGGGATGCTTGGTATGTTATGGCTCCTTTTCTGCCTCTACTGCCAGATTTCCTTTGCAAACAGGGTGCAGGGTGACAGGGAGGGCTGTGTGACCATGGCCCAGCCCCAGCACACCCCCCAGAGGTGACCAGGACATACCTGGCACACAGGGAGTGGTCACAGCCCCTGTGGCTGAGCATGGACCCAGCATCACCCTCACTGCACTTGGGGGTCAGACCCAAGAATTGTGGGGGCACCTGAGACCCCCCAGCCATGGAGCTCTTTGTGCAACTGGGACACACCCTTGGGCTGCCCAGGTAGGTCCAAACACTGTCATTTGGGGTGTAACCAAATGCAGAACACATTTGTAATGTTTTATGGTTTTTTGTTAAATTAAGTAAATAATATGTGGGTCACCAAAAGTCCAGTCTTGGAGACTGGCCACAATATTTTGCTCTCTTTGGATTCTGGCTCATTTTGATTGACTGTATTTGATTTGCTCTTTCAGTGTTTTTCAACTTCTGATGTTCTATTTAAAGAAACCTATATTAACTTTCAATTTACAGTTCTTTTAGCAAAAAATATTAATATTTTATTAAGTAAATCCTTCTTTATGTAAATGACACATCCTGATTCATTAAAATTTAAAGCTAAATTAATGGAGCTTGATTTGTATTCCTGTTGTTGTGTTAAATGTTTCCATAAAAAGAGCTGTTTCCTCACCCTCGAACTCTCGTGGCCACAGGGTCATCTCAGTAATTAGGATTCTCTCAGTAACTTCCCTTCTACTCATGAAAGTGTCCTGGTTTCTCACACAGATATAGATGTAGGTGTGGGTATGTGATAGTCCCTGTCTGTATTTTCTTACAATAATAAAGAAAATTGTGGAGTTTAGGGAAGTCAAGGATTCCTGGAAATAACCAAACTAAATACTGTTAAATACATCCCAGGGCAAACTACCAGAGGCTACAATTTGTCTTCAGTAATTATTGTGGAGATAACCCTTCAGGGGATATTTCCCCAGTTCTTATTCCTTTATTACTAACACAGAAAGGGAAAGAAAAGGATGTTTGATGCAAGTGCTAATTTTGATTTGGAAACTGCTGCAGTGATGTTTTGTTTTCCAAGAGACTTGTCCCTCTGGGCAGTCTCAGTTCTGTGTGTCTGAATTTCCTCCGTTGCAAAAAAGAAAAGTTGTTCCCACGGGCCTCAAAGGTAAGGACACTCCAGATCCCAAAAGGAGCAGGTAAACAACTGCTCAAGACCATCATAGGTGAGTAAATATCTTCTTCTTTATCACTGTCCTCATTCCAAGAAGGAACCAGCATGTTTTGCCATTTCTCTGGCTGTGGTGCTGCTGTTCAGCCTGTTGTGGAGCTCTTCTACAATGGTCCATGTCACCTCCCCATTCGTGGTATTTTTCTGGAGAGTGATGGTCACAGAGTGGATTAATCTTGAGAGCTGTACTGTATTCTTTTGTGTAAAATTACAGAAGAACTTCTATTTAAATTTTCTTTCTGTTGCTGATGTTGGTAGACAAAGAGAAGAGATCTTTAACAACTTATTAAAATCTGCTCTATCCGTTTGTATTTTCTTGTTGTCATGAGTTGATAAACCTGGTTTTGTGAGTTATCTGAGACTGTCCTTCTCAGTCCTCGTGGCTTCTCCCACCTTGGCATCACCTTTGTGTTTCCTGTCCAGCCAAGGCAGACACTGGCTCCCTGCACCCTCCAGAGCCAGGCTCTGCTTCCCTTCAGATGTTTGTGTGTGAAGTGTCTCATCCGGGTGCTGTTGACTCACCCTGGATTTCCATTTCTGTATCTGAGGTCAGAAGCTGGTTGATAACAAAGAAAATATATTATGACTTTTCACTGCAGCAAACTTTGGGACATGACATGGCTTCTATGTAGGGGCAGCACAATCCCCCCCTTCCTTTGCCTGGTTGGTATCAAACAACTGAGCACAGCTCTGCCCAGTACCCAGAGCATGATTTAGTGTCACTTCTGGCTGTGTTCCAGGTATCCACGCAAGGATGAAATGAGCAGATGTCTAATTTGGGATGGCTTGGCCAGTATTCCATGAAAAGCCACTGCAGTGCTTTGTTCTCCCAGCAGCAAGGTTGTGATTACACGATGCCCACCCCCCTCCAACGAGAGGTCAGGGAGGACCACCCTCTGCCCTGGGAGGATGATGCCAAGCTCTGTCAGCCCCTTTTGGCCCCTGGCATGCAGATTTAAGACACAGTATTTATAGTTCATGTCCTCCTACAATTTGAAATGCTTTGCCCTGGATTTTGGGATCAGGAATTTGGCCAGCTGCATCCCTGCTGAAATCCTGAGCCGTGACCCCCAGCGCCTGTGGTAAAGCAAAGATACAGCTAATGCCATTAGCTGATAAATCCTCTGGCCACGGCAATATTGGAGTTTTAAACCAGGATTGTGACTCCCTGGTGGTGCTGAGGGTGCGTGTGGGTGTTACAAGGCAGTTGTGTCGTTGCAAGAACTACTTTGACTGGTTTTAGGTTTAATGTTTCAAAAGCCAAAAGTGCCGGCAGTGTTAGGGAGGAAATCTGCCACGGGGAGAAGGGGGTGTGTCATGCACCGGCTGTTTTTTGGTTGGTTTGATTTTCAATTGGGTAATTTGGTTTGTTGTTTGGTTGGTTTTCCTTTGGCAATAACCGGGTCTCTGAGGCCTCTGTGGTTGGTGCAGTGGGAATGGCGAGGGTGGCTGAAGGCAGCGTGGCCGGGACACGCAGGGTCCTGCTTTCATGGCTGATGTTTCTCTTGGAATTTGAGAGCAGTACTTACTCTCCCTGCTCTGCTTTCCCAATGTGCCCCACAGCCCCAGCTCCAGCTGCCTCTTGGCTCTCCCTGCCCTCTTTGTGAGTCTCTGGAAGCCTTTGAGGTTGATGGATAAAAGGCACTGCAGGAGTGCAAGGGGCCGGCTGAGCAGCTCCCTGCTCCTAAAAATGCAACTCCTCTTGGCTGGCTCCTAAAAATGCAACTCCTCCTGCTTTGAGGTGCCTGACACAAACAGAAACACACCTCTGCTGGAGGGACTGCTGTGTCTGAAGGAGAAAGAAATGGATCACTCCTAGAGGAACTGCAGGTTCTTGTGGGAAATTTGGTGATATTGCTTCTTTCTCTAGACAGAGTTAACTCAGCAGGTCCCAGGTTTATTATGTTTTCCCATCCCATTCCCCCTGCAAGTATCCCAGAACAGTCAAATCAACAAGTGAAGAAACAATCCCTGTGAAATTGCTGAACCTTCTTTTTCCAAGTGGTTGTGCCAAGGCTGGAGAGATCTGTCCAGGCTCCTGCATGTGGACATGAGCTGCTGCCTGTGGTCAAGTAACAACGAGCTGGAGGATGGTGAGATCCTACAGGATGGACTGGAGGTGCTGACTGGACACAGGAGGAAGCTCTCCCTGGGGAAGTGCTCCTGCCTCTGTCAAGTGTCCCCAGCTGGGATGTGGGGTCACCTCAGATCATCCCCTCACATCCCTCTGGGGCTGCCTGTCCATGGGGGCAGAGGTGGTGCCCCCTCCCACCCCTCACCCTCATCTGGGAGGAGTGAAATGGTTCCATGAGACCTGTTCACTTGCCCTTAGAGAGGGAGATCTTCCCAGAACAAGCCAACATGGGGCTGTTTTTTGGTCTGATTGTCTAATGAATGCTGTAATAAGGCCATTAGTGTCTGCATAGGGTGCATCATGTTGTCTTAATTGCATTGGCATCTCCAACTTGTCAAGTGCACTCTTCCAGCTCGGTGTTATGGCTCAGAACAGTGGCACTGGGCACTGGGGCTCTGCAGCACATTTTCAGGATGGCTGAGGAAGGTGAATCCTTGACTGGGGATGGAAAACACCATGTCCTGTCCATTATTACACTGCAGAGATTTCAAGCAGCTCTTACTTGAGATGCACTTCACTTGCAAAGCATCGGGCAGGGCTAACTGTGAGCTGCAGACAAAATTAAACCATTTCTCTCATTAATCTGTTTGCAAACAGAAAAAACACATATTAAAGATGCCTAAACATGTGGGGTGCAGAGACAAACAAGAAAGCCTGTGTTGTTTTGTGGCTGTGCCCCGGGATTGGGAACAGCCTGGTGGTGTGGAGCAGTGCAGGGTTTGACACATGACTGCTGGTTGCAGGAGCCCTGCACGCCGTGCTGGGCCGGCTGCCTGCAATCCCTCAGCCCCTT